AAATTTATTTATGGTATTTAGCATATTTATTAGAGTTATGGTGCCTTGATTCTATGCTTTCAGGAATTATGTTGCCTCGATTTCATGATTCTAGTTTTATTTACGACGTTTGGCATTCCGCATTTTGGAATTATGTTGCCTCGATTCCATGTTCCTTGTTTCATTTACGGTACTTGAATTCTGCATTCCCCATTCTGGAATTATGTTGCGTCAATTCTATGTTCCTTTTTCTTTTTACGGTATGTGCATTCTGAATTATGGAATTATGCTGCCTCGATTTCATGATTCTAGTTTTATTTACAACATTTGCATTCTGCATTTTGGAATTATGTTGCCTCGATTCCATATTCCTTCTTTCATTTACGGTGTATGAAATTCTGCATTCCCCATTCTGGAATTATGTTGTCTCGATTCTATGTTCCTTTTTTTCACGGTATGTGCATTCTGGAATTATGTCGCCTCGATTCCATAATCACTGATTATTTACGCACCGTATTTGGAATTCAACGTATTTACTACACGGTATTTATGTTGCCTCGATTCCATAGAATTAGAACGAGCCGGCCTGGAAATAGCTTGTGAGTAAGGCGAAAGCGTGAGAAACTGGAACCGATAAGCAGAAGTATTTGCAAAAAGTCACCTTCAAAATGAGTTTAGCGGGCTTAGTGGCCGAGGCGTTTAGACGAGAGCTTGTTGAACGAGGGTTTTCCTACAAATCCATTAGTGAAAGACTCCGAGTTCTCTTTCCTGGTAAGAGGGCCGTCGATAAAACCCAGAACATGGAACATTCCGGAACATTCCGGAACATCCCGGAACATGAAAAAATTTGTAAAATTTTAAAAAAATAATAGCAAGGAGTAAATAAGACAATAAATATACTTTATATATAACCAAAATAGACATAAATACATAAAATAAACGCGAAAAATAAAGAAAGAAAATGAATCTAGTATCTTCTCCGAGTATAAGAAAACAATATTTTGTCGGAATCACGAGAGGATGAAGCTTTATCCTCTCTTGGTCGGAATTGATTTGCTGGGCGAGTGAGGGCAGTTCCATGCAAATGACAGTCATGATTGACGGCTCGCCTCTTTAAAATATAGTAGATTGGGTTGCGAAGAGGGGAATTTTTAAGCTTTCCTCACACAGCCTCCTCCTGTAATGGTTTGCCTTGAATCAAGAGTGAATCATGACGGTTATCTATTTAACAAGAACTTAGGGGCTACTGGCTTTGGATTTAAAGGGTAAGATTTATATTGGTGGTAGATACTATGCTGTTCACAGTCCCCGATTTTTATGGTGATTGCGGCCATCTTGGTTTCTCATGGCGAGCGAAATCTGGGGGGAGTTCCAAATGCCGCTAGGGAGTCCCCTAGGGACGGGTACTCGTTTCGTTCGCTGTACAAAACTAAGATGGCGGCGATCGACAGGAAAATATGGGACTCTGACCAGTATAGGTAAGTTTTCTTATTTGCTTCATACGTAGACGATTTCACATGGTCTACTTGGTTGTCTAAACTAGTGTAGAGTACTCGAGAATTAATGATTTAAACTTCTGCCGGACGTAACTTGCTTGTTGTCCAATACACATTGCCGTCAGATCATGTGCAAGCTCGCCTGCTACGCAAACAAATCAATCAGTTACTATGATGTATAACCATATGCGTTATCTTTCCTCATTCGAACTATTACTTATGAAACACTCTACTGCAAGTTATCACACTTTATTGTAAACGTGAACAACTACAGAAATTCGTAGTTTTAGCACTCTCGTAATAAAAGCAACCTTGAAAGAGCATTCTGAAGTGACAAATCACCTATTTTCATGCGCAATATTGTCAAGACTAGAGACAGTTTTGTAGTTCTCGTTGGATTCTCTTGTCAACCTAAGATTCTAGTTTCAGTTACATCGTATTATAACTCGCGTTATGATTAAAACATGGAGTACTTTAATGTCAGCATCGCCCCTTCAAAATTGCTTTTCTGCCAACCGATTTGATGAAGATAAAAATGTAATGTAACAAACAACAGAACAATAAGCCACGATCAATGATAATAATATAATTGATCAAGGTAAACAGGGAAAACTGGGTTGCTTTGCATTAATGTAGGCTACAGGCAATAGGAGGTAGCAGAAATGCAAGAAAACTGCCATGTCCTGCGTAGCTGGCGGTTATGTGGGGCTCAAGAGTGAGCAGCAAAAGCGCCACTATTCCCCCTCTTGCCAACGGTTTTACAACGGTTTTTTCTCCGTTTTACCGCTTGCTTGCGTGCCCAACAGAAACACCAGCTATACGTGCTATGACATATCCAACGTGGCCCAAAATCGTTTGACATGATATTTTATAATATTTGAAGTTTAAATATTAAAATGCTGAGCGCTATACAAATAACTTTCGCAGATTGTGAAGCGAAGAGGATTTCGATATGTAAACTTCTTATCAAATATTTAACATACTTTTATTCTCTTGATATATAACTTCAACCAATTTTGTATTCCTTGAAAACGTAAAAAAAAACGACAACATAAGGCCAGATCTGACGTTTCAATGAACGATTAATATTTAATGCAACCCAACGTCTAACACCGGCAATGCACTCGGCACCCAATCTGTCGATTTCACTGAAAAGCAAAGAGGCCGCATTTAATAAAGCAACCCAACCACAATTATTTTTTACTCTTTGGGTTATCTGGATGAAACACAAGTGCATTTAACACATGTAAATCTAATAACCGCACGTTAACTAGAACGTGTGTTTAAATTCCCGGATTCCAGATTGGGCCACGAGTAGCCTTTTTTTTACATTTCGGACTTGCATAGAGTTTTGCCTCAGATGGGTACTGACTTCAAATGCAGACCAGCTTTTTCATACCGTATCGGGCTGGAAGTTGAGTAAATGCAAATAGTGAATTACCATGCAAAATCCATGCTGAATCCTTCAGATCTGTTTCACAGTAGAACAAAAAGTATGATAAGGAATTCTTTTCGATAAAAAAGGAGCAAATACAATAATTATCATTCAACCACAAGCCCACAAGTCTTATCTTAGGTGCTACACAACTACTTATTTCAGTCTGAACATCAAGTGTTTCTCAACAATGTGAATAACTACAATTCAGGCTCATTTAGCTCCCAAAATCGTGCAAATACAAGTTAATGCTGTATTTTGCACAGTAGAGTCTAGACGAAGACGGAACTGTTTCTTGAAAACAAGACTTGGCAGGTCTTGGGTGATGAATACTCCCCTCCCCCAACTACGTTACTATTCTGGATAAAAGGTGTGTTTACCGAAAGCTACGTAATTTCATTAAGTCACAACTATAGATTTCTGAATACAACCACATGTTTTAGGTTTCCTTTGTTTTTCATTCCCACACTTAAACATTAAGCAAAGTGTTTGCTGATGTCCAATTTTCTGCCTAAAATGTAATTAAAGAGTATAAACTACATATTAATACTGAATACAGTAGCTAAGTACTCTTCATGTACTGAATCAATGTTCAAGCCTTCCTGTAAGCGTAGCATACTTGTATTGAAGTAAGGGTGCCTCTGTAGGATGCAGCTCGGACTGGGGTGGTAGTATTTGGGCTTTTCTGGGGATATCCTCTTCTGTACTGCCCCGGTAAGTGGATCCTTGAAAGGGTACTCGTCTTTCTCTAAATGCTGTACTACAAGATCAAAAGGGGGGAGGCAAGGACTGTTGTCTGGATTTTTCGGTAATGTACCACGACATCCAGTACACCTGCTGATCCTTCTGTTCATTTTCATTACAGTAAAGGGATTGTTGTTGAACCATGGTTTTCCACCAGCCTGTGCCTGGGACCTGTTAATGTAGGAATGTTGACAAGGTGACTTAAGTACACGTCAGTGATCATTTGCTTATTTATTTTTATTTCACCTGAAATTAAGGCAAAGATTTTTACGTTACTTAAACTTTTTTCAATATATTTTTTTTCTTATAAGAATGCCAGGGTAACTTTGAAGTCGTCACCTTTTTTCATCTGCTTTTAAAAACCCAAAAAACTTTTGAGAAGTTTGGGAACTTTGAAAAAGTAATCACCCAAGAGAGGTATAGATTATTGTGTCTTCAAAATTTCTTAACAATGTGTTCAATTTCAGGGTGAATTATATGCTAAAGTACCTGTTAAAAGACATTCCTTGGTAAATGTATCCTTGTGTGCGAGCTTCCATCGTCTGTTGCTGAAAAGTACACGTGTTGTCAGCAAAAATAGCCATGTTTGGTGTATACGTGTTCATTGTTCCAGCCGTACCTTGGGGTAAAACTGTTTGCGTCATCAAAGTGCCAGGATGTGGGTATTGGGGCTGATTCTCATTGTAAACACTCTTGGAGAGAGTGGACGGAAGGTAATCATCTCGGTCAAGCCTCTGAAATGCACAAGTACCTGCTGTGGGAAAGCTGGCAATGGGAACATTATTTGCTGTGGAGGGCAGATAGTGGTCTGTGTCAAGCCTCTGTAATACACGATTAGCTGATGTGGGGAAGCTAGGGACGGGGACATTACTTGTAGTGGAGGGAAGATAGTCGTCTTTTTCAAGCCTCTGTAATGCAGGACTACCTGCTGTGGAAAAGCTGGCAATGGGAACATTATTTGCTGCGCCGCTTGTTCTGATGTGACTGGGTCCAGGCACAAATGATCGAGGAACACATGACGGCAGTCTGGCGTTGTTTTCTACCCCAAGATTACCACAAGCATCACCATAGTGATTCTTCTTTACTGATCTGTCTCGTCGTTGACGGTTGCCCTTTTTGCCAGAAGACTTGGTGTTAATATCAACTGTTGCAAGGGACGTGAAGTTGTACGACTTAGCCTGACTTGCTCTCCACTTCAAGAACGAATCCAGGTCTCCGCTTTTCTCTGCAACGACTACCGCATGAGAGCAGATGCTGTTAGGCTTGTACATTTTGCAGGTACAGGTGACCTTAACGTGGCTACATGAAGTGTGGCACGTGATACAACAGTGCACCTGAACGAAATAAGGTACAGAACTCTTGTCCGTCTGGCTTTGAACGCAGAACATTTTCGTGTTTGGGACTCGTGATGGCGCAGAGGACACATTGTTCTCAAATACACTTAAAAGAAGTTCCGCCTTTCTCCAAATTCCCTTTAAAACCGGCAGAGGAATGATACTTGCAAGGCCACTGCGTTCCGGTGAAGTGCCAAGAGTGGGGAGTTGGACATCACTACGGCTTGAGAGCACGCAATGTTGTGGATTTGCAGCATACATTTCACTTATTGCAAGCTTGTAAACTCTAATGACATATGATCGCCTCTGGTCTTCTCTCATGTCATACCACTTTGATGCAGGTACAACAAAAGAAGAAAACGCATCTCGGACCTTGTACTCAGTCGACATTCCACACAGCGCCTTCGCAAACTCTGTTTCTTGACTGTAAGCCAACTGTTTCATGCCAGCAACAAAGGAACAGAGCCCCGCCTCTCTATGATCCATCCTATGCTTTATTCTTTCATTGTTGGTCTCACTGTCATTGGTGTAGAACTTCTTTGGAGGATTTCCCAAACCTGCTTTGGCCCGAATATCGGCAGTCATGCATGACTTCATCATCGTTGATCGGTCACTGAAGTACTTGCAAAACTTCTCTCCCCCTGGCAGTTCTCTCCAGATCTTGATGTGATCTTGCAATGCCTGGTCAAACTCGTCTTCAGATTCTGCTTCTAGAAGGCCACGAGTCTCCTCACTACCAAAAATCTGACCGGTGATTGTATTTATATGTTCTTGCATACCACAGTTCTTCATAGCTGTTTCGACATTTTGTTTGAAGTGGCGAAAACATCGCAATGAAATGCCTTCTTTAAACACTGATTTGCAAGCTTTAACAAGTTCATCTTCACTGTCAGTTCCAAAAGCCTGCATAGACTGCAACCTTGGCTGTAGTGCGACTAACTGCGATGTTAGGTAGTAGTAGGCATAGAATGTCATACTCTGGTGAATATGAAGTGGCCCCAGAAAAACAGGACATTGCCCAGTTCGGCTACTTTCAAGCACAACGTTTCGGAACGAGACTGGTGTTACATTAAAAGGACCATTGTTGAATGTGGGATCAATTGACACTGGTCGAAAATCCACTGCATCTACACAAGACTGCGAAAGACTATACAACTGAAAATCAGTTGCCAACAAACACATTGGCTCAGGGTGATTGATGATTGCTCGAATGAAATCACGATCATCTTCCTTGGCAGCTGTCATGAGACTGTACAGTTCATCCCACTCTTTTTTGTGTTTATTTTCTGTCCCAGCTCTAGCTCTGATTTTCCGAGCGGCATAGTGACCTTGGTGCGTGCCTCTCACATGTTCAGCAGGTGATTTGGCATCAAAAATAGAGCATCCAAACTCGCCCTCCGTGAGGTCGATGGCTTCCCTCACTTCATGTCTTGCAAGATTGCTTTCAAGTTTTTGCTTGACGGAAAACTTGGTAGCAGTAAATGGAATGCTGTTCCTTTTGGAATTTCCATGGGGTGCCAAATTCACCTCCCCCTCCTCGCCTTCCCACTGGTACTGTAGAACGGCCACATTGCCATGGATTTGATTTTCTTTGTTTCTTAACACATAAATCCTCCTATGAAAGGTCGTCTTCTTTGAGTGGCGATAATAGTATCGCTGTAGTAGGAACTCCGAGCTACTTTTCAGCGGACATTTAGCTCTTGCGAGGACTGTTACTTGAGGAGATTTTTCGACCTCATCTTCACTTTCACCCTCATCTTCATTACTAGAAATCTTGATCGTGTGTGTTGGTTGTCCTGTATTGGTAAAGACACCATTTCCATCTGCCACAAGATCTTTTAGAGGAACATGCTTCAAATCGATCAAGAACACGCCATTGTATGTAACCCTCATGGGATGTTGTTTACAAAGAATTTCAGGCTCATTTTGAGATCTCCAGACCGCTTTTACCACATCCGTAATACAGAAGGGGCGACCAGTTCTTTCATATAACGGCATCTTAATATTTCCGTCATGGAAGAGGGGTACAATACTTCCACCACCATCCTTCTGTCCCTGTTTGTTACTGCTGTTATACAAAAAACAATAATGAACTCCTGAGAACTGTACTTGTTACTGACTTGAATTATATTTGAAATTGACAAAAGTGTTGTGTAGGAGCGACATAACTCTATACAAAGACATCAGTGGCAAATTCCTTACAACCCTAAAAAACCTACAGTGATTTTTTTTTTAAACTGGGACTCATTGCTTCTAGACTGAGACTCATGATTTTTCACAAAATGAGTCCCAGGACTCACCATAACTATTTGCAACAAAATTACTGCACCTATGGGTATGTTCACACTTGAGTGTAATATTTTTTGGATGATATTCATTGGTCTTAATGGCAACTATAGAGAGGAATGTATTGGATACTGACAAACTAACAATAACAAATACATATTGATAATTGAAGCTGTTCTTCACTTTGTACTCTTGCAATTGTTTTAAAATTTTTATTAGATTATTAAGTCAATGCATGATATGAATTAAAATATATAAATTAACTCACATGGAAGTTGTTGTTCCGTCTTTTTGTAACACCTGCAGGTTAAAAGCACAGGAACAGTCAGTTGAAAACACAGCAGGGACACAGGTTATTATGCTAAGAGCTGGTGTTCCAAGATCAATCTTATTGAAGGCAAATATAAAATACTCATGAACGGTTATAGCAGAAACACAGATCATACATATACCTCATCTTTACTTTCAAATCTCTTGGAAACTTTTAAAGCAAGTTCAAGACCCTAAAATGATAAGAAAACACATCTTAAAATACATCTTAGTCATGCAAGNTTATTATGCTAAGAGCTGGTGTTCCAAGATCAATCTTATTGAAGGCAAATATAAAATACTCATGAACGGTTATAGCAGAAACACAGATCATACATATACCTCATCTTTACTTTCAAATCTCTTGGAAACTTTTAAAGCAAGTTCAAGACCCTAAAATGATAAGAAAACACATCTTAAAATACATCTTAGTCATGCAAGCAATTATGTGAACAACAGTTCAAATCTGATTTAAGTACATTGTGCACATCAAGTGGGATGATGTATTTAGTCACCATTTTAAGAAATGTACCTTTCCAAGCACTCCACGCTGTGTGGGTAGTGAACCAGTTATTTCACAGTTTCAGGCAGTTTCACTTTGCTAAAAAAGGGTCATTGGTCTATTTCCCTGATCAGCTAAATTATTTATCATCATTCTTTTTCTATGAGATTAAATTCAGCAAAAAGTCTTTATATGCCCTGTCCTGCCTGACTTTTTTTTTTAAGAATACGCATGTGGGGTGAAGAAGGACCCCTCCTACACACACACCAACATGAATCATGGAACAGTTGAGAGTCAGTAATGTACATGTCATGTCACATGGAAATGACATCACACAATAAAAAAAAAGTAAAAATTTTTTAAACCTGTCTTTTTTTCACAGATACTTTTTAGGAGAAGTGGCAAAGTCTGGCCACAGCCTTAATTTAGCAGTATCAATATTGTAACTTCCTATGTACAGAGGTGGCTGTTTTAGAATCTTTTAAGGGGCAGATAAAGCATGAGCCATGCCCAGATTGGTCTCCAAACATACTGAGAAGTATCATCAACCCTTGGTCATAAAAAACATTCATGCAATGTATATATAAATTTTAACTGTCATTTTTTTCAATGTAATTTTCTAATACCACCAAAGTTTGCAGTCTTGTCAGAGGAAATCTCAGTTTTTAATAAAGATTTTCAGACTTTTTTTCAAATCTGGAATTTGAAAAAGATGGTAATTTCATATACATTAATGACTTTGCTTTGCTTAGATATGCTGCACCATACTTCCACTTATATCACAAAAATTCTATATATTCAGCTGAGGTTAAAAGTGAAGCTTCTCTTGAAAAATATATAATTTACTCCAAAAAATAAACTTTTAAAAGAAAATTATATAGCGACTGCTTGTAAACTGGCTAGCTGGTTGTCCCTGAAGTCCAGTTGAAATCAAAAGCTACAAAACGATAGTCCGGTAGTACAGCCCCTAGCTCATAAACACTTTTTCTTGCTAACTGTTGGTTTCAATGTGATTAAAACCTGCAGCTGGAATAAAACAGTTTTCCAGTTCAGGTAACTATTGGGACTCTTAAGAAATGGCTCTCTGTGGGAATTTTGGACTGAGCCTGCAATCAGATGAAAAGTGGTTGTCTGCAAAAACACGTAACCTCAATGGGTAGACACCTGAGCCTGTAATACGGTCATGTGATACTGGTCAGTGGATATTCTGTTTTGACAGCTGTCGATTGACCATAAAATGGATATACAATATCACGGTGCAGGCGCCCACACTAGCTAGAAAGTGTGACATTTCATGTTGCCCTGGTTGGCCTGTGGTGCGAACTGAGGGCGAACTGTTGTACAGTCACATGACTACCAAAATTTCTCAAATGGATATAATTTTCTTATGCCCCATTCAGACTAATTAAACAGGTTTAATGAAACTAGGCTTTAAAAAATGTAAAACAGTAACAGAAAACTTCAACACAGTATTTTGAACGAAATTCTAACGAACTTTAACATTGTTATGTAATTAATTGCACTAATTTGCCATGCTTTGCGAGAGCATGGAGCTCTGCGATTATTGGATGCATCAAACATTACAAAGCAATATTACCGCGATAACCTCAACACCGGAGGAGTCTGAGTTTATTGAATCCCCACCTAAATCCACAAAATTTTAAACAAAATTCATGACAGATTATGGGCTGCAGATTGAAAGAATGGCCTAACTGCAGCAAAATCCAGCTCACTTCATGCCACAGATATTTTTTGTTTCATTTTCTCATTAATCTTCACGGTTTTTTTGGGATCATTGTCAAAATTTTCTACAAAATTAAAGTATCTGATTCTATACCTGCCAAATCTCATGCTTGCGGATCAAAGACATTGATCAAAAACCGGCAAATTTTTCCTTGACAACTTAATTTAATATTCCGAAAAGGAGCTAACTGTTGACTGTTTGCTAACTTTATCACATCACACTAATTATTGTCACCTTCGGAGGTACTCAAAAGTCGGCGGAATTTTTTTCGGATATTTTTCGGCACTGTTCGGAAGTCTTCGGAAAGTGGTCGGAAGTCGCTGGGACTATTTCCGAAATCCTGGTCATTACAAGACGAAAATCTCACGCATTTGGCTCGGAAAAA